TAACAACTAACTAGGTGCATCAGGGTGAAAGAAACTCTGCCCATTTTTTTCCGCCATCGCCGAGGATCGATCCCCGGGCCATAGGACTACGAATCCAGAGCGCTGACTACTCAGCCGCCGGCCTCGTGTATATATTATATCAAAGCAACAGCTGGCCTGTATAATGTACAATGCTGGCTAGCTAGCAAGCATTGTACATCATATATAACGAGAGATTTCTCCGAGGGGCCAATCACTTGGGCTGGACGGTAGAGCGACGGTCTCGCTTCATGCAGGTCGGCGTTCAATCCCCCAACCGTCCTCAAAGTGGTTGGGGGGCACCATTCCTTTCCTCTCGTCCCATCCCAAATCCTTATCCTGATGTTGTTGTTGTTATAGATTCAGCTGCTGGGAACAAAAAGTTCCAAGTAGCACGGGCTATGGTGATCCCGTGAGCCCTTTACAAGTTACCCGTCTTGGCGGTGTGGTTCCTTGAGTGGCTGTTCAACTATTTGCCAAGCTCCAGGGGCCAGATTCACGAAAGCACTTACGCAAGCACTTACGAACGTGTACATCTTTCCTCAATCTTTGACGGCTTTGGTTACATTTATTAAACAGTTTACAAACATGAAAACTTGCCAATCAACTGTTGTTATTGTTACAAACAGCCTCCTGGTGCTTCGGAGCTCATTAACTGTTTAATAATTGTAAACAAAGCCGCCAAAGATTGAGAAAAGATGTACAGGTTCGTAAGTGCTTGCGTAACTGCTTCGTGAATCTGGCCCCAGGTTCGTAAGTGCTTTCGTGAATCTGGCTCCTGGTTTAAATCAATCCAGTAGTATCTGATTCGTAATTATGTTCAGCAACATTCATGGATATCTTTGTTTCTCAATGATAAATCAAGATTATTCTTTAGTTATAATTGATATCTTAGTCTACAATATTTAATATTTGTTTACACTGTGTGTGTGTGTGTGTGTGTGTGTGTGTGTGTGTGTGTGTGTGTGTGTGTGTGTGTGTGTCTGTCTGTCTGTCTGTCTGTCTGTCTGTCTGTCTGTCTGTCTGTCTGTCTGTCTGTCTGTCTGTCTGTCTGTCTGTCTGTCTGTCTGTCTCTCCATTCCTCAGATACAAGATCCTGGAAGTGGCTTTGTTGGGTCGACATTACCCCTGACACCCGATGCTGTGTGTGTGTGTGTGTGTGTGTGTGTGTGTGTGTGTGTGTGTGTGTGTGTGTGTGTGTGTGTGTGTGTGTGTGTGTGTGTGTGTGTGTGTGTGTGTGTGTGTGTGTGAAAACATGCACACCCATCAGCCATTTGTCTGTATCCCCCCATTTCATTCTCAGCCCATTCCACTTGTTACCAGCCCCACCCATTAAGCATGTATTGGCCCTTAGGTCATTTGACTTCCTAATTTCTAATTACCTTTCCACTTGGTTAAAAGAAAACATTCTGTGCCTCGAACGAGCATTATGACAGTCCACTGTGTACTGTATGTGGTAGGGGAGGGGTGAGGGTGGCGGTACCAGTATAGTGACCATGACTATAATGATTATATAAGAGTTGACATTATGTAATCAAATATATGAACGTATATAGACAGCCGGGGGAGTGTGGCCATCAGTCTAACTTAACCAAGGAAGAGCAGAGTGGTATATGATATATATTATATAGGTTCTAAATTCCATATGTGACCAGTTTAATGTTACGTCTATCTCAGTGTCTGTCTCTCTGTCTCTGTCTCTGTCTCTCTCTCTCTGTCTGTCTCTCTCTCTCTCTTTGTCTCTGTCTCTCTGTCTCTGTCTCTCTCTCTCTGTCTTTCTCTGTCTCTGTCTGTCTGTCTGTCTCTCTCTCTCTCTCTCTCTCTCTCTCTCTCTCTCTCTCTCTCTCTCTCTCTCTCTCTCTCTCTCTCTCTCTCTCTCTCTCTCTCTCTCTCTCTCTCTCTCTCTCTCTCTCTCTCTCTCTCTCTCTCTCACTCTCACCTCACCTCAGGTCCTCACTCCCCGTATCTCCAACATACAGCCCACAGGGACCTGACCAAAGCTCTGGAGGAGAACACCATGAATGGTTAAGCAGCAGCAGGGAGGAGGAGGTAGCGAGCCAGCCCGTCAATGAGACTGGGAAGGTGAGAGAGAAAAAAATTATACGAATTTTGGAAACTGTAGAAAGTCCCTTACCCCCACACGAGACAGCTCCTATACCTATAGCTACCTCAAACTCACACACACACAGTATAGCCCACGCTTGAGAGGCGGGACCAAAGAGCCAGAGTTCAACCCCCTCAAACACAACTAGGTGAGTACACACACACCCGCCTCTCAACTGATTAACAGTTGAGAGGCGGGACCAAAGAGCCAGAGTTCAACCCCCTCAAACACAACTAGGTTAGTACACACACACCCGCCTCTCAACTGATTAACAGTTGAGAGGCGGGACCAAAGAGCCAGAGCTCAACCCCCGAAAGCACAACTAGATAATTACACACACACACACACATAAGATGGAGCCGAAAATTAAAAAAATAATGATCACTGGGGATACCAGCAATTTGCTCGCTTTCCTTTGAATATATATTTTTATGAGGCGACCCAAAGCCTCATAAAGAGTCTTCGTGGTGTAAGTTGTGGAGTGACGATGAGTCTCTGGCTTGGTGACGAGGCTGCTGGTGGTCTGGCTTGGGGACGAGGCTCGGCGATTTAGTTACCAACTAGGCTAGAATTTGAGTCAAGTTTCAGCAAGTATTTGCCTGAATTTATCTAAGTGGCCGCCATCTCTTTAGTCGCCTTGACGGAGTGGACAGGAAGCCAGCGGTTTGTGGCTTGTCAAAAGTCCCCCTCATTTTTCCTGATGTTCTTTTTTTTCAACTATATATTTTTTTCAACTGTAGCAAATGTCTTGGCATTTACGGCTTCGACGGGTAGGCAGTTCCATAAATTTATAGCCCTGTGGGTGAAACAGCATTTCCTATTTTCTGTTCTACATTGAGGAGCCCGTAGTGGACTTAATGAGGATGGTGTAGGCACCGCCCAAGGTAACGATGGCGGTATTAACCCCTCATAACATTCCTGTAGACTGCATTTTCTCCCTCAACCCCATCCCAAAATCCTTATCCTCGTTCTGTCCAAGTGTTACAAAGTCTTGTAATGGCTTAGCGCGTTCTCCTAATTTCTCCCAAGGATTCTCCTGAAACCCTTACACACCCAAACCCTTAGTGAGCCGGTCGGCCGAGCGGACAGCACACTGGACTTGTGATCCTGTGGTCCTGGGTTCGATCCCAGGCAACGGCAAGAAACAATGGGCAGAGTTTCTTTCTCCCTATGCCCCTGTTACCTAGCAGTAAAATAGGTACCTGGGTGTTAGTCAGCTGTCACGGGCTGCTTCCTGGGGGTAGAGGCCGCGGAGACACTAAAAAAGCCCCGAAATCATCTCAAGATAACCTCAAGATAACCCAGGACTTTTCTCCCCCCTCGTTCTCTCAGTATATCTCTCGCTCCTTCTCTACTTCCCTCACAAACTCCCAAACCTCCTGACCATCAATATCAGGAACCATTAACATTCCTGGGAGTGCCTTTTCGCGCGCCTCTCCTGGGAATCCGAGGCTGGCACTGATCTCAGGTCTAAAAACATGATCTGAAATTGACTACGTGTGACGCCATAACTTCAGATAAACAGAGTTGTCATGTGTATTTCTATTCCATCTTTTCTGTGAGAAAAAACAACCAATTTGATTTAATAGTTGAGTTTAAATATATTTAAACATCATAGCCTCATGCAACATGGGGCCTCGACTAGCTGTAACTATTTCTGTCTAGCCCGGGAATCGAACACGGGATCTCTTATTGTGAGTCGAGAATAGAGCCAATTGTTCTTATATGAACTAGGAAAACACTTCGACGAAAGGAATTTTCAGTGTCATCATAGAAAACGTCCTCAAGATATCTACATTAATAAAAAGCTGAGGAGTCGGATAGAAGAAGCCTAGCGAATGAGGCTACAGCGATAGTGACAATTTTGGATAAAGCTGGGAGAATAATAATTAGGACAAAATTAGGAAAATATAGGAAAAAAACAATAGAAATTAATAGGCCTCAGGGAAACTTAGTGCCTGTGGTGAACGCCAGTGGACCATAGTGCTGAAGAAGATAAAGCTTCCCAGTTATCAGTTCTATTGTGGCATCACAATCAACAACAAGATAAATTGATATCATTTTTTAATTAGATGTTGGAAGCTTTATATGTGATGGCGTAGCTGTTACTGTTTTTATGTTTGATATGTGTATTTTGAGGAAGGTCTAGTTCATGATGGAGATTGAGGTAGGTCTATAGCTCATGGTGCAGGTTGAGGTAGGCCTATAGTTCATGGTGGAATTCCATGTATTATAGAAATCCTAAAGTAAAATTCCCTAGAAGGCGTACGGCGTAGGATGACAAAGTTAATCCCGCAAATTAGAAACCTGTCATATGAAGAGAGAGATTAACATAGCTTAATGAACTGGTATGGTTTATGGCACGAATGAACCGCATTAACTAAAATATCCCGCCATTAAATTGTGTTGCATTTGCATCCATGACTTCAGCATGTGCGTGTCAAGGTCGCCATGCAGATACATTTACCTAACTGTTGCGGCAACAGGCGCATTAACCACGCGGTTGCTTTACCGTCTATCTCTTTATTACACAAAACTGAGGTATTTCATTATTGACATGAGGATTGGATTACACGTGTGATAATATTAAGTGAATCATGACAGGCTAATAATGCAGCTGCATTGCCCAGTTATGATTGGTGGATGCCGCCCTCCACTGACCAATCACTGACTCTTCATGTGACGTTGAGGAAGCCTCACTGCATTTCAATATGTTGATTAATTGCACGTAATTTCTAATCAAAATTATTGTCGTAGTAATATATTGCATAATACGCATTACCCGACGGTAATAGTTAGTGATCATTTAATTCTATTGTATTAGAATTCATAGCAGATACAGTGCTGGCATCGACCCATGAACAGAGAAGCTAGGCCGAAGCCGCAGCCACTTGGTTCTTTCGAAGGCGGGAACATATGATTCAGGCCTGCCAGTAAACAAAGTCGGGCGTGAGAGAGACTGCGACTTCTCTACTTCGCCTTACTTTACATTTCTCGGATCGGATACTTGCATTAATCAACGGCATTGCAGGTAATTCCTCGGCCCGTTGCCTTGGGAGGTGTCTCATGCTCTTGTAGCCCTGAGGAAATGTAAATAAGTTTGTTCCTTCAAGCATGACAAGCAAGGATTTTGATATGCTTGCGTTCCTCCATATTTACTTAGGCATTCTAATTCTTTCCCCCCTCATTATAATTCGGTTGTTAAAGGTCTGAGGGTCATATGTGCAAATTTAGCTTCTAATGGTAATGTTAATATCCCCAATGTGGAAGTGAGATGCTGAAATGAAAGTTAACTTATAAAAACATTATGACCAAGGTCTAATGTTTTCAGAGGATACAAGTAGTCGCCCAATCTCTGGCACCTGACCAACCCCCAAACCAATTTGGCCTAAACTATCATAATATGGACTATACCTTTTAATAAATTTGGAAATGAACTGTGAGTGAAGGTCATGTGTATTTTGACCAGACCACACACTAGAAGGTGAAGGGACGATGACGTTTCGGTCCGTCCTGGACCACAATCTATTTGAGAATGGTCCAGGACGGACCGAAACGTCGTCGTCCCTTCACCTTCTAGTGTGTGGTCTGGTCAACATACTTTAGCCACGTTATTGTGACTCTTCGCCTGCATAAGGTCATGTGTGCAATTGGGAGGTTCTTGCCTCTGTAACCCTTTCCACTACTGCCCACAGATTAGGTATGGAATTGAAATTGAAATAAGTTTATTGAGGTAAAATACACACAAAGGGATGAGGTAACTCAAGCTATTTTCACCCCGTTCAGTACATCGTGTTAATACATACATAGACACACACACATCACAAGCAATAAACATATTACCGAACATTCTGAGAGATAAACATACATTTCCTCCTTTACACAAGATATTAAGTATGGGGTGCACAATCAATGAACTAAACTAAATTATCTTATTTTTAGCATAAATGTTATTGTAGGGTTCTGTATATTTTTAAATAAAAATTATGACAGTGTTATCAGATGCTGCACTATGGTAGTATTGCCAAATCTCAATGCAAAATACAGTAACATGTCATAATATATAATAGATAACAAAATCATTGTATAAATGTTTAAAATAAGGCAAATAGCATGCTGGGATTTGTAACAAGAAGTGTTAGGAATAAGTAATTATCAAAGATACTGTTAATTCTAAGAGGCTTTATAGCAATGTCTGTCATAAAATATTAAGAAGTTTCTACACTGCATTCAGGATGCTAATACAAGAGCAGAAAGACATGAGATGAAGGTTAAATAAATCTGGTTTCACCAAAGATTTTATCAGGGGGTCATGTGACTCAAAAAAGTGGTGGGAAAGCATAATTTCCAATCATGAAAATCAAGATTTGTTATTAATGTCAAATTGGGTCCCGATAGTACAGATGAACACGTTCTCGACTCGCAAATGGGAATTCCGGGTAGGACAGAAATGATTGGGCGCTTTTCCTATCACCTAATGCAGCTGTTCACCTAGCAATAAATAGGCACCCAGGGGTCAGCTTATTGTGCGTCAGTAGTTCGACCTGGGAGGAACCTTAATATAAGCCAAACATGTATACTCTATATACATTGGCTGTATTTCCTGACACAAAGAATTTTTTTTTGTCTCCACTAATTTTTGCACCCACTCTCCACATTTATTTTATATATGAATGACTTTGGGTGGGTATAAATAGGATTAGCCTCATATAGGCCAATAGACCCTCTGCAGCTTCCTTTATTATTATGCTCTTCGTGATGTTATCTGATAATTTGTAAAACTTAAATCCTTATGTATTCCAGAAATGCCTCTTCTGTATGGTGTGATTGCCAGGGGCACAACGGTCCTTGCACGATATGCAACGTGTGCCGGAAATTTTGCAGAGGTAACAGAGCAGATTTTGGCAAAGATCACTCCAGGAGAATCTGGACGCCTTACATATTCTCACGGGTCATATCTGTTCCACTATGTTGCTGAGGATGGCGTAGTGTTTTTGTGCATCACTGATGACGTAAGTTGGTGTTGTGGAGTAATTTTACTTGCATATCACGGATGATGTTATTCAGTATTGTGGAGTAATTTTGCTTGCATATCATGGATGATGTTATTCAGTATTGTGGAGTAGTTTTTAGTGTATTGGAGTATTTTTTAGTGTAGTGTACATTAGTGTACACTACACTACCTCTTTATCACAGATTGGGTTGTGTTAGTTGGTGTCAAGGTGCAAAAGAGGATGTAGTGTATCTGTGTATCACAAGTGGCGGGTGTAATTACCTAAGTGTAATTACCTAAGTGTAGTTACAGGATGAGAGCTACGCTCGTGGTGTCCCGTCTTCCCAGCACTCTTTGTCATATAACGCTTTGAAACTACTGACGGTCTTGGCCTCCACCACCTTCTCACTTAACTTGTTCCAACCGTCTACCACTCTATTTGCGAAGGTGAATTTTCTTATATTTCTTCGGCATCTGTGTTTAGCTAGTTTAAATCTATGACCTCTTGTTCTTGAAATTCCAGGTCTCAGGAAGTCTTCCCTGTCGATTTTATCAATTCCTGTAACTATTTTGTATGTAGTGATCATATCACCTCTTTTTCTTCTGTCTTCTAGTTTTGGCATATTTAATGCTTCTAACCTCTCCTCGTAGCTCTTGCCCTTCAGTTCTGGGAGCCACTTAGTAGCATGTCTTTGCACCTTTTCCAGTTTGTTGATGTGCTTCTTAAGATATGGGCACCACACAACAGCTGCATATTCTAGCTTTGGCCTAACAAAAGTCATGAACAATTTCTTTAGTATATCGCCATCCATGTATTTAAATGCAATTCTGAAGTTAGAAAGCATAGCATAGGCTCCTTGCACAATATTCTTTATGTGGTCCTCAGGTGATAGTTTTCTATCTAGAACCACTCCTAGATCTCTTTCTTTATCAGAATTCTTTAAAGATTTCTCACATAATATATAGGTTGTGTGGGGTCTATGTTCTCCTATTCCACATTCCATAACATGACATTTATTAACATTAAATTCCATTTGCCAAGTGGTGCTCCATATACATGTGTTGAGGTGGTGTAGTGTGTGTGGGCATCACATATAACAAAGGTGCATACAGCAGCTATATTTACATTGTACTGTAGTACAAAAATTCCCATAAGCCTTAACAAAAATGTATACATTATAAGCCTACACTGGGCGTGGGTGTTCATATGTCCACATAAGTCCAGGAACAGAGCATACAGAGTTTAAAAATTAAATTCTGTGCGTGTACAGTGTCTTTCTTGTATCCAAATAGTATCAATAATTTCTTTTCAACAGGAGTTTGAGAGGCAAAGGGCGTTTTTGTTCCTGGAAGATGTGAAGCAGAGGTTCCAGGTCACATATGGAGCTCGTATCCACAATGCACTACCGTATGCTATGAACAGCGAGTTTGCTCAGGTAACTAAAAGAACCTAATTAGTGATGCTGATTTATGTTGGTGGTAAACTCGATTATTTTACTCATTATTTGATTGCCAGTGCTTTCTTACGGTGCTCAGTTAGGCCTACCCATTGCATTCACCTGCCCTTTGTTTATCCATCTCTCAGCCCTCGTTCACCTGTGTCTTTCAGGTTCTTGCAAGTCAGATGAAACACTACACTGAGTCACGAGACATTGACAAGATCTCTCGTCTACAAGGTGAAGTGAGTGACGTGAAGGACATCCTTGTTAAGAACATTGGTAAGACCTGTTCTGGGTTGAATTTTGGATACCATGACAGTCGGAAACCTTAAATTGCATTTAAGTGTGATGAAATTAAAATTATTCAATAAAATTCACCTTCAGTTGGTGGCTTTAGACTCATCCTTGTTGTGATGGGAATCCTGGAAGATGATGTTGGCATGAGTCTTGGTGGTTTATAAAGGCTTTAGCTATAACATCCACAGAGTCATATCTCAAAAACAAAATAATGACTTGTATAACAAATAATTCTCAACTAGATTCTCAACCTGTCTCTTGAATAATACAGTACATCATATATTGACATAAAAATCCCCAACTTCAAAATATTGATGTACAGTACAGTACTTTAAATCATAAAGCTCACAAAATTGATGAGTTATCCCATTTTCTACAAGTGGGTCCTTTGTTAGGTTAGGTCCAGGCAATTTAGTACATCATTTTTTTATGATGTGACAGATCGAGAGCACAAGCTGCACTTGTTTCCATAGCAATGAATATTATCATAATCGCTGAGAAATTATCCATGGATAATGAATTTATAGTATTTTTAAGTAGAAAGATACAAGCAAAAATTCATTACTACTGTATGTTATTTCTGCAACAATGTATACCATCTTCTTGAGGTTATCTTGAGATGATTTCGGGGCTTTAGTGTCCCCGCGGCCCAGTCCTCGACCAGGCCTCCACCCCCAGGAAGCAGCCCGTGACAGCTGACTAACTCCCAGGTACCTATTTACTGCTAGGTAACAGGGGCATTCAGGGTGAAAGAAACTTTGCCCATTTGTTTCTGCCTCGTGCGGGAATCGAACCCGCGCCACAGAATCACGAGTCCTGCACGCTATCCACCAGGCTACGAGGCCCCCCCTCCTCGTAGTTTCAACTTTTATGGTTTACCATAAGCAAATGTACAGTGGAACCTTGATTCAACGAACTTCAATTTGGCAAATCTCCAGTTGGAACACACACGCTTTCCATGCCAGATTTACTACTGTAACCCAATTTGACGAACAAGAGTTCACTGAAGCAGGGCATGTGTGGATTTGCTTAGGATATTGGGACTGAGTTCATAGATGGAGGCAACATTTCCCAAAAAATTTAGGGGCCTTGGGAAAGCCACTGACCATCTTTAAAACCAAATTCTGTGGTTCTTTTATACTTCCAGTTGCAGAAGTTTTTGTTCAGTAAAATTTGTGCCCCTTTTTCCTTTCACAATGAGATTTCAAGGCTTTGTGGTGGGGGAAATATGCTGAATGCGGTTAAATCTCTGTACAGACAGGTGCTCTTTGTTGTTGCCCTTCATATGACTTTTGAAATTGAGTTTGCTCGGTGAAATAGCCCCTAAAGCATGGGAAATGCATCCTGGAGGCCTCCCCACTTGCAACGAATTGAGGCTGGTCCCCATATTGTTCGTTGAATCGAGGTTACTGAATGGGCAATACTTTAAACCTCCAAGAAATCTGTAATATGGTTTACATTTTAATAAAAACAAGAATCTACAGCAAGAGGAAGCATCTAATTAGAAGAATCAATAAATAAGCCTATTTATCAAGCATGTAAATTGATTCCAGTATTCTTGTTTAGAATAGATTTCCATGTTACGTTACTGCACTCGATACACCATTACCTACATAATATTCTTTAGATATTTTCTATATATACAGTACAGGGGTACTGTAAAGTAATTCTATCTGCATCTATTCTATCTAATGTGCTGCAGAATAAGAGTTGGTGTCATTATGAGAGGAATAGTGTTTTGAAGTGGTTGTTGCCAAATGGCAGCATGTACTAAATTGTTTATTTTTAATTTTCAATGTCCTGATATAATTGTTAAAGGTTCAGTACACTAAAAGGCATTAGCAAGTATTGTAGGGCAAAGCTGGCAAGTTGATTTTACATCTTTATAAATGCTAACATACACCATTGATATTTCAGAGAACCTAGCATGTAGAGGGGAAAGACTTGAACTCTTGATAAACAAGACGGAGAACCTGAACACCTCGGTAAGAGCATTCAAAGTATGGTACTGTATACAGAGAATAAGGTACAGTAATGAGGCTGAAGTATATAACCCAACCGACACACGTGAAGTGAAATAACACGTGATATATCAATCCATTTTGGACCCGTATCAATTGGTGATAACGAAGAGCAAGTTTACCTTGTCACGACTTGATAAGGGTCTAAGACGAAAACTTTGTCACTCATTTTATTTCATGTGTGGCAGTTTGAGTGATAGGAAAACAAACAATATTATGGGAAGAGAAGGATGACATAAGGGGTGTAGAAGAGGCTAAAGGATCATGCTAAGAGGGCCTGAAAGTTTGTTTGAGCCTCAGCCTTGGAGGTGGATTTCTAGGGTAACAAAGAGTCTAGTGAAGTGCTCTGAATCTATGTTGCCATTATATCTTAAGGTTATAATAGTCACACTGGTTCTGAATCGTTTTGTTAGCCATTTGGGAAAATGTGCATTTTCATTATTTTCAGGCTGTCACGTTCAAGACTACAAGCCGCACATTAGCCAGAAGCCTTTGGTGGAAGAATGTTCGCATCATCATAGTCATTGTCTTGGGAATTGGGGTAAGTGGCATTTAATTAAAGCAGTCTCCTGACCTTGGTATGAAAGACAAGTTTACCTCTAGAATGTTGACAACTTTATAAAAATTAAGTGCATTAATTAAGTTAAATTAAGTTAAAGTTGTGAGTATTTAAATAAATTATTCTGTGAAATAAATTGGAATGGTGAAGTGCTAGAAGTGAAGAAGAAGCTAGAAGATTAGTTTCAAAACCTGTTATGTGTAATTGCTAAAATAAGAAGTTGTGCAAACAAATTTAATATGGCAAGTTAGGGAGGGAAAGTAGCTGGATTGAAAAATCAAGATAGGAAGAGATTTAGCCAGAGGGTTATATGAAGAGGTGCAGTACTAGTACGAGACGACAGTGCAGTATTAAGGTGCAAAAACCAAGTGCAGTACAGCAGCAAATATGAACAATCTAAGAAGCATGTTTGTTGTTAAAAGAGCAGTCAGGAATGAAAGTGTCATGGAGTGATGTTAAGTACAAAAACTGATAACTGCAAGATTGAGGAAAGAATACCAAGTTAGTTTGGGCATGTTGACTTACGACATGAAAAGAAGGTATTCAAATGAAGAGTAGAGGAAGGCTGGGAAGAAGATATAGAAACATGAGGATTGTGTGTGTTTACATGGGGGATTATGTGTATGAGGAAGTGGGGGATGGAGTTCAGACACAAGGGATATAGCCAAGGACATTCAACTTGTCACGTTGTGTGTTAGGGGCAGGGTAGCCTCATCCCTCGGATGATTACTGCCTCAGGTGATTACATGGGTACTGCCTCTGTATAAAGCCACATCCTGGGAGGATGCTTATAACACTGGCTCAAATGCAGAATTGTGTGCTTAGATTTTAGCAATGAAGGCTGCAGTTCTTGGTTGATGCAGGTTGATGAACACGAAGGGTGCTACGTGTAGTGTAGTGTGATGCAGGTTCTTTGCAGGTTTCCACGAGTGTTACAGTGCCAGAATCAGAAGGGTGCTACTTGTTCCCTTTTTTGTGCATTTTGGTTGCTCCCATTACAGCTGGGAGGCACCCTACTCATTAAACTCTTCATGTTTGGTTCATGTGCTTCCAAGCTGTTTAGCAGGCAATCCATTATTTTCTGTGGGTAAACAATAAATGTAATGTAGCTCACCGGTGTTCGACTGGAATGAGGGTTTGCCTATCTTTGATGTGATGTTGAAGATGGGAAAACTTATTTCCTCAATTGGATCCTCTGTATTTGTTATTTTTATCTTGGACCTGTCAGGAAATTCTTCACCATGTCCAGGGTACCTCTGTCGCTATACAGTAATCTGGTAACAATGTGGCAGCCTTCAAGACATAAACTACCTTAACCAAGTTGTGTGTGCTAGAAGAATACAACTACAGTGTGTCGACCAGATACAGTATATAGATTTCAACACAGTTTTGGTAAAAAAAAAAAAGAATTGGCAGTAATTCAACACTTACGAGACATGCATGATAAAGTTCCCAAATCATTTGTAATGGAAATTCTAATAAATATAGGAAACGGGTATTTTACTTACCATACCTTGTAGAAATGAGACGTTACCATGTCACCCTGGAATGACCAAAGGAGGTATTGTCAATGATTTTGTGTACATTACGTACAGACGTAGATAAATTAATCTTCGATAATTTTGTTCTTCTCTCAGGTGGTAAGTAAGTACACAGTTGTGCACTTACCGGTTTTACTAGAGATCTTTTTAGTACAAATGGTATATTTATTCTTAAAGTAATTCAGCCACAGTTACACTTAAATTCCCATGGAACCAGCAAGCAAAATCTAGTCCCTCTTCCAATTGCTACACTCACAAACATTGCAGAATTAACTACTTGAAAACTGCAGCATTCAGATCATTATAACCAGATATCATTATAGACATGGGACTGTTGGATTATTTCTAGCTTAGGTTAGACGTCTATATGAATGATGGTTGGATATAAATAAGAGCTGCTTCACGTGAGCCAATAGGAGCTGCCGTGTGTGGACCAATAGGCCTTTTGCAGTTTCTGTTATTCTCTAGGTTCTTATACATTGCCTCTCTAGTTTTTCTGTAAGAATTACAGTAGACCAAATGTCAAAAGACTTATCCAATTTTTAAAGAAAATAAGTTAATAAAAAATAAAGTACTGTATAAAATGAAATTCAATCAGCATTCCTGCATAGGCAGCCTAGTGCCTTGATACTGAAGAGGGATATACATTACAACAGAGCTGCATATTCAAGGACTAGTCTTACATCAGTAATGTACAGAGATTTAATTTTTTTTGTATACTAAATGTATATTAAAGAGAGTATTTGACCCACAATATTAAGATAAAATAAATGCTATACAGCTGGGATGATACTTTTAGCTATAAAACTAAATGTGGTAATGATAACACCCATTTAGTGCTCGCATGCCAGAATGATTAGCAAGGCTTTCCTATACACGATATTATGTATGTGCTCAGTGCACCAGCCTGTGCTAATTATGCCAGTACAGGGTACGCATTACACTCCTCGAACTCATTATATTTAGCACAACACCTCATAATCATTGAATGCAGCTGAAGCATTCTGGTTTCATATAAAAATATCTTAAACTTGTAAATATGCTGTTCAGTACTGTACATAGTTTTTATACATGTGTTCATTTTAAACCATGCCCATTGTTATTAATGTGCTTTTCCCTAAATTATTATATTTAATATTTACTATGCACTGTACATCTTCATTAGTTTCTTCAAGATTTTCTGTTGTATCAATTATCTTTTAATGCCTAGTCCTCAATGGTGACCTTGTCTCTTGAGGGTGTGGCTTCATTTAGAATAATTCACACACACATATTGTCAGCTAATACTGTATAATTGTTTATTTTTCAGGCGAGCATTTATATAATAGGTGCAATGGTGTGTGGCCTTGCATGGCAGCAGTGTACGAAGTAGGAGTTGTGCCTTTGACAAGTGATCATACTGCAGACAGATGCTTATACACATTTTATGTTCATGTTAGAGAGTTGGATGTTGACTACGATCTTCACTCTTCATGTTGGCGTTGTGAGGAATTACTTTATATTGGGTGCATGCTGTCACGCAAAATCATGTCACTTGTAATCATTCGGTAAGTGTTTAATGATTGATTAAGATCTGGTTGTTGAATTGTCTGATAAAACTATCCCCATTTTCTGTATTTAAGTTGAATTGTTAATCATAGCAATTATTAATATTTTCTGCTTTTTGAATCATTGAGTTTTGTCTTTTAAGTTCAATATCTTGTACGACCAAGTTATATTTTTAATTAAGTGACAAATGTAAATCTCAAATGACATGTTTCATAAAATTGTTGTTTTAATTGTTATTGTAACATAAAACCATATTTAATAACAAATGTTTAATACATTTGATAATATCTAGTTACTGAAAGTTAAAAAAAAATATTAATATGGAAATAATGACATTTATAAGGTTAATTTTGTGATGGATAAAACTTGGTGCATAAAGGTAAATGATTGTGTTTGTAGTTTCTATATATAATCTCGTATTGAGATGTACTTATTTTCATTATTATTGTGATCATATCAAAAGATTACCAAATGGATGTTGTTGTAGTTTTCTGAATCATAGCAAGTAAATCTCTTGCCTACTCATAATAGACTGGCCAGTTACATAGGATTACATAATAATGTGTCACTGTACAGTTCTTTGCTGTACTTGCCTAATAGCCCCTAGAGATTTATTGCATGCTTCCTCTGTATGGGGAGACCATCTTTTACATACATATATATTTATGACAGTATCAGACCACGGAGGAAGAATTGAAACAGGAATTACCTTAAGTACTTTCGTATATTATCCTTCCTTCTGAAGATGTATTAATATATGAAAGTACTTAAGGAAATTCCTGTTTCAATTCTTCCTCCGTGGTCTGACACTGTCACATTTTTCATCACGTGTTAATTTTTGTGATTTACACACATATATATATTTATATATAAATATTGTACACACACTCAAAAGTGGTTCAGTTATGCGTAATAAACTATAATACACTCGCAACGAAAACCCAATTGCTTGCATTCATATATAAAAATATTGAACTGTTGTATTTAAGATTTTTGTAAATTGTGATTAATAAATATAATTCAATAATCTTAAAGCTTTTACAAGACATACACACACATGCTGTATTTTAATTTTAGCACATACTGTATTGTTTTTTTGGTTATAAAACTGGGCTGAATACTCAAAGGAAAATAAATGTTTTTAAAGTAATTATTAATAACATCTGGCATCACACTTACTGTGATGCCAGATAGTGTCATCAAAAATATCATACAAGTACAGTACAAGGCTTTACGGCTGACGATGCCTTATTCTGGATGAGCTCATCCCAAGGGAACTACCTACAGTATACTCTTGTATACTGTGCCTACAGTATACTCTTGTATACTGTGTATACAGTATACTCTTGTATACTGTGTGGTGTTTATCTGTATGTCAGCAGCTCTTATGTCAGGTCTTGCAAAGATCAGTGCAGCGGTCTCATTGTATTGTTGATTTGTACAGTATTGGAAGAAATCTTAGGATGGTTAAATTGATGATGGACCTGAGACCCTGTGGGTATGATGTTCAAGTGTGGTGTTGGTTCAACATAAATTCAACGTTGAATCTGTGTTGAATTGACATTGCTTTTGGATCTTGGGCTCACTGGGAAGCTGCTTGTGTGAAGGAATATCATTATGTATACTTACTAGTCGTTTTCTAATACCCACTTAGTTATTGGCTGTAAAAAAAATTATTTATTTTGGAGTCGCTGGTTTTTTATTTTTATTTTTGCTTTGGTTATATAGGGAAAAGATGTTTTTGAATTCTTATATACTATTATCATTACCTGTTAGCGAGATGAAGAGTCCAGTTCTGGTATGAGTTAATTACTGTACTGGAATGATTATAATGAGTCCTTGTACATAGCTGTATTAAAAAAATAAATTTTTAGTTAGAAGCGTTAGATATGGACATGACGAAATCAGGTGCATGGTTTTAAGTGGTAAATACCTAGTGGGCACCCTCGGTGGAATGCAACCGACCTGACATAAACGGTGCATCAACTCGGTCGCTTTAAACGAGCAGTGACCACTGGGTAGGTTTGTATATAATATACTGTACTGTGATAGTACCCTTTATTTAGTTCACCATAAATCTCTGTGCTTAGTATAGACAAGATGGGAACTTGCTGAGGAAGAGTAGGACAGCTGTATCTGCAGAGTATTTTCTTCCTTAATGAGTTCTTCATTAATTAGACTAATCTTGAAAGAAATTATTCTTTTAGGATAATAAAGATGCAGTGATATAGTTTAGTTAATAGTCAATATGTAACTAGTGTGTCAGGTTTGTGGCAGTTTAAGATTTTTTATTGCATGTAATATTTGAAATCATGAGAGATACTTTGAATAAAGTTTCTGAAGCAAAATTGGATTTTAATTTTTCTCTCAATTAATGTTGTTAAGGCATAAAAATATCATCAGCTAGAAACCTGTTGGCCACAGGTTTCTGGCTGATGAAAAAAAAGTTTATGCTGAAATTTGTCATACAGTATTTTCGGTAGTCTTATCTAGATCTGTTTAAAAGTTCTGGGGCAAAATTACAAAAAATATATACTGAACAAACAGTACTCCAAAGTGGATCTTATTCATATTCCTGATTTTGTATTACACACTGATTAGTGACTATTGCATTGCATAGTTTATTTTGTTCAATAGTTGGCATGGAAAGCTAAGTACAGTACATAACAGTTCTATTAAATATGATTTAAGTTTTATACTCTTGATACCCAAACCTAAAGGAGTTGTGGTATTACCAATAAAGTGATGGATCATGTTTTTCACTCATTAGTCCATCCTCCTGAAATGACAGTACGTTTTGTAACTATTGGCTCAAAATGAAGTACTATACTGGAACTCCAGTAAACCTCTTTGTACTACAGGTATTATTTTTAGTCTGGAAAATAAAGCTAAAAAGCAAACTTAAATATTCCTAGGCCTTGTATACCCTGTAGCACATATGTACTCTATGAGACATAGATAGCATGTATTAGGCATAGGATTGCTAGGAGAGGTTAGGTCTTATTTACATTGGTAATAAAAAAAATTAGTTTCTCTAAATTTAATATTTCAAAAGTCAACTTTTGTATCCGTCCATCATGACATATTGGTAATTTCAACCACATAGTTGCTATAAGTACTATACTGTGTAGTACTCTGCTGTGCCTGGGTCTCTTTTTTTTTTTTTTTTTTTCCCCCCCTCTCCTCTCTCATCTCTTCCTCTATCCCCACTCCTCTCCCTTCTCCCCCCCATCCTTTCCTGTCCATCCTCTCTCCCCCCTCATCCCCTTCTCATTCTCTCAGAAAATGCATCACTACGAAAAACTGAAAAACTACAGAAAACATTTGTGATTTCAGACTTAAGGAAATTACCGGGGAGGGGGGTCATTATAGATGCCATCATTTCTTAAAGTATGGCACTGGGACCCACATTGACAGGCCTATGGCACAAAAATACCCCCTCCCCCCTCTGCCTGCTTTAGACACTCACATTCACCTTTAGACGAATATAGATACATAAAGCAGACATATTATGATTGAATTATACCACCTTTACTAGAACTGGAAAATGCAGTTTACTATTTTTTTTGTTTTATTTCGAAGCTTAGCCAAAATGCTTTAGGCTACGCTTAAAACCTGTCTAAAAAGGCGTAACAAGAAAAATAAAAGCTTACATGGAATTAAAGTTCTTCAGGAACTTTTGGGTGGGGGGAATGGCCTTTTGACAACCCGCCGGCTTTCTGTACCCGACGAGGCCAATGGAGATGGTGGTCCTCGGGTCAATTCACCCCATTATTAAGAAAGGTAAAGTAACTGAGAAAGTGCCAAGCCAGTATGACTTTGGAGCATTTGGAAGGGTTACGAGGCTAGGACAGAAACTGGGATTTGAGGACAGGACGGGACAGGAGCTGGGATATGAGGACAGGACGGGACAGGAATATGAGGACAGGACGGGACAGGAGCTGGGATATGAGGACAGGACGGGACAGGAGCTGGGATATGAGGACAGGACGGGACAGGAGCTGGGATATGAGGACAGGACGGGACAGGAACTGGGATATGAGGACAGGACGGGACAGGAGCTGGGATATGAGGACAGGACGGGACAGGAGCTGGGATATGAGGACAGGACGGAACAGGAATATGAGGACAGGACGGAACAGGAATATGAGGACAGGACGGAACAGGAATATGAGGACAGGACGGAACAGGAATATGAGGACAGGACGGAACAGGAATATGAGGACAGGACGGGACAGGAGCTGGGATATGAGGACAGGACGGGACAGGAGCTGGGATATGAGGACAGGAGCTGGGGTATGAGGACAGGAGCTGGGATATGAGCGTGTAACTTAACCCATCGGAACTTGAATAAGGTCAAGGACGGAGCCTCAAGCAACAACATCCTCCCTCGTCGCCGGCTGGGTCACTGCTGACAGGAGTCTTAGACACGGTTGCCAGATCTAAATTGCGGAAAGTAGCGAACTGACGGCCTAAAAGTAGCGAATTTGTAATAAGAGTAGCCCAATCTTTTTTAGTGAATGATATGGGTTTCAAAGTAATATATTTTGATATATAGAGTACAGTACACGATGTTAATTGTTTTATTAATATTATTTCTCCGATACACACACATATTATATATATATATATCTCACTTGTTCCCTTGTAACTTGTAACTCACTTGTAACACTTATATGCTGTGCTTCCTATTTTAACCCACTATGTTAAATGGGATTCTTGTATTGTGATTTGTGTATTTGTACTCACTGAATTTGTGCGCCCCTTGAGGGACTTGAAGTAGAGGGGGGGGGGGGTAGAAATAGCCTAAGCTTCTCTATCCCTTTGAGATGTATTTTTTTATTGTCTCAATAAACATACTTGAACATGAAGTGGACGTTAATGTTTTTTTCGGCAGCTTTATTTCCTTAGTTTCCGAGCTATTTTCTTTACCGTGTATGTTGTAATAAACTATGCCTCTGTATGCCCGCTTAACCACTTGGGCTGGACGGTAGAGCGACGCTCTTGTTTCCTACAGGTCCGCGTTCAATCCCCGACCGCCGAAGAGGTTGAGCACCATTCCAGTGTTCCCCGCCATCCCCCGTTCCATCCCAAATCCATATCCTGATCCCTTCCGAGTGCTATATAATCGTAATGGCTTGGCGCTTTCACTTGATAGTTCCCCCATCCCCCTGAATAATATTATGAGAGCAGTATTTACGGGCTATTCATGCCCGTGCCACCTCTTGGGTGGCTTAATCTTCATCAATCGAGAGCAGTACGTCCTAACCAGACATTATATGATGATATCCTCAACAGTTAATAAATAAAAGTAATTGCGGAACTCCAGTTATCTAATACTTATCATAAATGGTATAAAACCTTATCATAAGCCAAGGGATTTGTAGATCAGTGTTTAATGGGAATTCGGAAGTAATAATGACACAGCTGATGCCATCTGTCGGCAGAAGAGAACACTATCAACTGGCTGGTCAATAGGGGCCATAAGATACAGCTTACGCCATCTGTTGACATCAAATTACACTTATAACAAATTACCCCACAAAATACAACTAGCGCCATCTCTTTTTTTTCCAACGCACTATAAATAGCCAAACAGCAACCCATAAGGCGGGTTGTTGTGCTCGGGTAGAAGGTTCCAAGCTCCGCCCACAAGTGGTATGGGGTGCATAATAAATGGCATATCATGTGTAGATATTCTTTGTTGACATTCACACAACAGCCAATCACAGGAAGGAATCAGCTATAGGCGCCATCCACTTAGTAAATCATCTTAGTTCAGCCCACCAGTCCTGCTTATGGAATTCTGCTTTAACTTTAATTTACCAAAAAAAAGGCGAAGTGTTAATTATTTAAAGTGTTAATAAAGTGATAATTAAATATTGCAGGATATAACAGATGTTATATAAAAATGGGCTGGCTACCTAACTTGTGACGTTATTATTGGGGGTTGCCTTGACACAAATAATGATACGCTGCTCTGCCCTCTTATTCGAGTAAATTATTCAGTTAGATGGAGATTTCTGTCAAGTGCAAAACAGAAATTGTTGTTCTTTTTCACAACAACCTTGTTGTTGTGCACAAGGACCTATTTCTTAGTTAAAATTTTAATCATAAAAGAGTGTTGGTATTCCCCGCAACAGCCAATCACAGGAAGGTATTTCTGGAAGCTCGGCCTCCTTATGGACTCAGCACATCGCTCTAGCTCATGGCTCTCTGTTTCATCTCTTGTATATACAAACTATGACTTTTTTCGATTACTGTTATAATTAATAATATGAAATATAAAAGTTTTTACACAAAATCTCTAAATTCTGCCATTAAATGGACTTTGTCTGGTATACATACAAACATACACCAATTTATTACCATTCATCCATTATTAATTTAAAATGTAATGTATACTGTCTAGTTTTTTCCTCTCGCCATTACTTGGTGCAATATTTGAAAGTTGTCTATTTATTTATCGATCTATCTATTATCTTGTATTTATATTTACAAGTTTCTGTGCTTGGAAGAAAACTCTGCATTGAATTGAGACTAATTTATTAAATAATACAATTTAGTATTAATTAATATTTACAATTATTATTAATTACAATTATTTATAGCTTAGTTACTTTCATATAACTCGCAATCGTACATTCTTAACATTAATAGCCCAAATTAGCACATCTTGCTTTTAAATTAGCCCAAAAAGTAGCAAGTTGCAAAATTAAAAATTTGGGAGCGCGGGGCTCTCAAAAGTAGCCCAATTCGCTATTTGTAGCCCAAGCTGGCAACACTGCTCAGACTCCAGCCTTAACATGCACTGATGCATCTGAATTATTTTCACTCATGCATCTGAATACTTCCTCTATTGCCATGTGTTTTGCGTCAATAGAAACAATATTTAAAACTTCCTTTTCTGCCCCGAAAATAGTTCTCATACATGCCTAAAGGGGAATTTCAAACTGCACAGTGTCGAGGGACCTCTTTGCATGGCGGAGGTATCGTTCCTGTATTGTAATACGCCACACTGGCGTAATAATAATAATAATAACATAATTTGTGTTATTTATTTATATATAAAAGAGTTTTTACACTTTTGTACAGCCACTTTAGCACGCATAGCGTTTCGGGCAAGTCCTTAATCCTAATTTTCCTCCGGAATACGACATAAGAACATAAGAACAAAGGTAACTGCAGAAGGCCTATTGGCCCATACGAGGCAGCTCCTATCTATCTGAATTATTATAACGACCCGCCAAATCGTTTAACAACCAGGTACCTATTTTACTGTTGGGTAAACAGACGCATTAGGTGAAAACACACTTGGCCAGCTATTTGTCCCGCCCGGGAATGGAAC